GAAAACTAAACATGAATCCTCTTTTTAAAAATAAGAGCTTTAGAGTGTAATAAGCCAAGTCACTGGTCAGGCCTGTGGGATGCTGAGCATTATTCTACAATTGCTTTGTAGCATTTTTCTAATTCCTGCCATTTTTTTCATTTCTTCCTCAGGATACGCTTTATTTCTTGGGTGCTTAAGGATTTCTTGGCTTCATACTCAGTGCTACTAGAATCTACCCCTGCATACTCCCGACTCCAGTCTATCAGTGTCTTAAGACATTGTAGTTCTGAAAGTGGCCTGTAGATCACAAGGGAGCCCCAAGATCCTTTCGTAGAAGGATCTATCAGCTCAACACTCTTGATGATAATATTCAGATAATTATCTGCCTTTTTCCTTGTGTTGACATTTGCACTGATGGTGCCAAAGCTATGATGGATAAAACTCCTTGTGCCTTAGCAAAAATCAAAGCAGTGGTGCCATGCCATATTTTCTGTGGTATTCCTCTTCACCTTGTACTAACAATAAAAAAAAAAAAAAAAAAAAAGAGACATATTTCCTTAAGAATATTCTTCATGAGGCTGGGTGCTGTGGCGCCTGTAATCCTAGCACTTAGGGAGGCTGAGGTGGGTGGATCACTTGAGGTTAGATGTTTGAGACCAGCCTGGCCAACGTTGTGAAACCCTGTTTCTACTAAAAATACAAAAATTAGCTGAGTGTAGTGTCACACACCTGTAAGTTCAGCTACTCAGGAGTCCAAGGCAGGAGAATCGTTTGAATCTGGGAGGCAGAGGTTGCAGTGAGCTGAGATCGCGCCACTGCACTCCAGCCTGGGTGACTGCGTGAGATTTCGTCTAAAAAAAAAAAAAAAAAAATTCATGAATCAGTAAAAATTACTAATTTTATAAAATCTTGACCCTCAAGTATAATTTTCTTCATTTTTTAAAAGTTATAATTTACCTACAATAAAAAGCAACCTTTTTAGTATACACTTGTATGAAATTGACAAATTCATATAGTTGTGTAATCATCACTTCCACAAGTAGGATATAGCACAGACCCATTTCCCCAAAATGTTTCTCTGTATGCCTACTTCCCCCTTGCCCAGCACCTGGCAAACCCCGATCTGTTTTCTGTTTCTATAATTTTGCCTTTCCCCGAATGTTTTGTCAGTGAAATCATATAGCACATGGCCTTCTGACTCTAGCTTTTTTCAATTAGCATAATACATTTGAGATTTGTCTATGTTGTTGAATGTAGCTGTAGTTTGCTCCTTTTTATTGCTGAATAGTATTCTGTTATACATATATACTACAGTTTATCCACTCAATAGTTGAAGGACATGTGGGTGGTTTACAATTTTTGGCTGTTACGAATAAAGCTACACTAAAAATGTGCAGGCCGTGTGAACACAAGTTTTCACTTAGGAGTGGGACTTTTGGGTCTATGGTAAATACATGCCTGAAGAAACAACCAAACTGTCTTCCATATGGCTGTACTATTGTGCCTTTCCACCAGTAAGTTATGAGAGTTACGGATACTCCACGACCTTTCCAGCACTTTGTATTGTCAGTTTCATTTTCATTTTAATCCATTCTAAATATGTAGTAGTATCTCATTGAAGATTTAATTTGCATTTCATTAATGGTATCAGGCATCTTTTCCTGTGCTATTTGTCAATGTATGTCTTTGGGGAAGTGACTGGTCAAATCTTTACCTTTTTATCTTTTTGAAACACAGTCTCACTCTGTTACTGAGACTGGAGTGCAGTGGTGCAATCTCAGTTCACTGCAACCTCCCACTCCTGGGATTGAAGTGATTCTCCTGCTTCAGCCTCCCTAGTAGCTAGGATTACAGGCATGCACTACCACACCCGGCTAGTTTTGTATTTTTAGTAGAGACGGGGTTTCCTTCATGTTGGTCAGGCTGGTCTCAAACTTCTGACCTCAGGTGATCCCTGCGTCTCGGCCTCCCAAAGTGCTGGGATTACAGGCGTGAACCACCACGCCTGGCCCAAAACTTTTTAAGCCCCAACAAGATGCTTGAAAGAAATGCTCATTGAAGCATTTTGGATTTTGGATTTTCAGATTGGGGTGCTCAACTGATAAGTATAATGCAAATATTCTAAATCTGAAAAAATCCCAAACATTTCTGGTCTCAAGCATTGTGGATAATGGAATCTCAGTCTGTACAAGTTTGACCAAAGGATTGTAATGTAAGGGAAACAAAGCTCCCTAATGACTGAGATACTCCTTCCCATTTTACGTGGTAAATCAAGAAAAACAAGAAAATTATTATTGTAAAATAAGAAAATCTAAAAACTTCTTTACTACAGTCTTAGGATCCACGTTGCAGCTAACCTTTAACAGCTAGTTGTCAAGTTTTGTTAACAAAAAAGAACACCCGCAGTTGTCTGAAAAGACTATTAAAATTCTCTTCCCTTTTCCAAGTGTTTATTTGTATGAGGCTGGATTCTCATCATAGGTTTCTACCAAAATGTGTGTCCATACACTGATGATAGAAGTGGTTGTGAGAATCCACATGTGTTAAAGAGATTTGCAAAAATTTAAAACAATGTCGTTCTTCTCACTACATTTTTTTTGTTTTAGAATTTTTAAAATTGTTAGCATATAAACTCACATTTTAAAATTGGCAAATACTCTTTAAATGTCTGTTTGAATTCCTAATATAGTAAATGGCATTCAATATATAGCACACATCACTCTAAGCTCTTTGGAGTCTTCAATAATTTTGAAGAGTGCAAAGGAATCTCCTGAGACCAAAAAAGTTCATAGGTTGCTACGTAGAATTTAATTCCAGCATCAAAATTGTGTACTGGTGATGGAGAACAAACCTAAACCCTAGCCCAAGGCTTCTTGGTTTGAGGCTGCTAGTTCTCAAAAAGGAATTCATATTTGCTTTACAGAATCAATAATTTTCTATTCTTTAAAATGAGATGTCTTCACAGATACCTCTTTAACTCTGTCTTCTATTATCATAGACGTTACTCAGTACTTAGAAATAAACCAGTGCAATCAGACCTTCATCTCTGTGGATTCCAAGTCTGTGGATTCAGCCAACTCAGGATTGAACATATTCAGGGAAAAAAAAGAATGATTGCATCTGTACTGAACACGTACAGACTTCTTTTTTCTTATTCCCTAAACAATACAGTATAACAGCAATTTATGTAGCATTTAAATTACATTAGGTATTATAAATCTAGAGATGATTTAAAGTATGTAGGAGGATGTGTGTAGGTTGTATGCAAATACCGTGCCACTTTATATATGGACTTGAGCATCTGCAGATTTGGTATCCTGTGGGGGTCCCGGAACCAGTCCTCCGAGGATACCACAGGATGACTGACTTTGCATTAAGGAATGGTACACAGCTCTTTCTCCACTAAATCGTCCAGATCTCATAAAGGGTAAAGAAAGTAGATTTGCACCTTACTTAATTCTTCCCCCTTTTATCTTAAATAATGGTTTCTCATTAGCACTGAACGTCTAAAGGCTGCCATGAAAGGAACAATGAGGTGACTTGCCTAAGCCATACGTGAACAGACGTTGGTCGATTTCTTATTGTCCGTATAGCTTGCTGACTTACTCAGCCTAGCTGTATTCTCTCTTTAACATTCAGCCTCTTAGCTCTCATCAGTATGCCACAGACCTAAATATTATAAGGTGCTTTTCTTCATTTTTGTTGGTGCTTTCTTTTTTCCAGTACTTGAAACTTCAGAGCGTATAGGATACGTGCGAATTCTGTCTTAAAGCCATAGACAACAAACACCCTGATCAGCTAGAACACGTTTTTGTGGTCTTTGTTCCAGAAGAAATCCTAGAAGGATCAAAACAGTTCTTCTAGTTTGGGAGCAGTGGGAATATCAACTTTGTACATGAGAGACCATATGATTATAAAATGACTCCCTTTTGGCTTTTGTATGTGGTAATATTAGATTATAACATTTAAATGGTGAATATTGGCCCAGTGGTGGGGGTAAAAGTTCTTAAAATCTTGTGACTATATCTAATCTAAAAGCATGCTAAATCATAGCACTTAATGGCCTACTCTCCTTCTCTAAACAAGATAAACACTAACCTGGCGGGGTGCAGTAGCTTATGCCTGTAATCCTAGCACTTTGGGAGGCTGAAGCAGGTGGAGCACCTGAGGTCAAGAGTTCAAGAGCAGCCTGGCCAACATGACAAAATCCCCTCTCTACCGAAAATACAAAAATTAGTCAGACATATTGGTGGGCACTTGTAATGCCAGCTGCTTGGGAGGCCAAGGCATGAGAGTCACTTGAACCCGGAGTGGTGATGGTGGGGAGGTTGCAGTGAGCCAAGATCATGGAATTTCTCTCCAACCTGGGCAAAAGAGCAAGACTCCATTTCAAAACAAAGCAAAACAACAACAAAAAACCACGAATCTGTGATACGGTATTGTTTAATTAAGGAAAGTAGGTATATTTAAAGCTAATAATGTTTGGAAATCTTCTAATGAGATTTTTGGGTTTAAAAATTTCTCATTAAAATAATTAACCTATAATAAAACAGTAGCTATATAAGAGTAACCCTCCCTCCAGCATTCTCCTTTCTCCCATGCCAAGAAAAGAAAGACTGTATTAGGACTTTTTCATCTGAGTGTAAATTATTAATACTATCACACCAAGTGGTGGAAGCATGTGGGAATGCTCATTGCCCCTTAGTTAATTTGTAGGATTGCTTCACTATATTTTTATGCATAGTCTGTTCAGAGAAAAAAATTAAATTTGTCCTTCCCTAACAAACTTGATATTGTGGCTGCTTAAATAATGGCTATTGTATTCCAGGCATCAGCTGAGAACATAATTCTCAGACTGTGTATCAAAGTTTTGAACTTTGATATTTGTAAAGAGCTGTCTGTGGGAATGGTGGTTGCTGAGGATGGTGTGTGATCATAAATGTTAACCTAAATCATGCAGTAACTTGTTCATGGAATGTTCTCTGTGATTTCTCTCCTTTGCCTCATCTTGATTACAGAGAGGTACAGAAAGCAGTCAACACTGCCCAGGGATTGTTTCAGAGATGGACAGAGCTCCTCCAGGACCCCTCCACAGCAACAAGGGAAGAAATCGACTGGACCACCAACGAGCTGAGAAACAACCTCCGAAGCATAGAGTGGGATCTAGAGGACCTTGATGAAACCATCAATATCCTTTTCTGTGGTGTCTGTGCCATTTGGGGTAAATAAATAGACAAATGGACAAGTTTTTCTCCAGTTGTTTCCAGTATGTAGATGAAACGTTTTCTTTTATAATCAGTTGATGTTGCTCTTACTTATACCATGACGTGTTTAAAGTATTTGCCCCTGTAAGTTAAGGTAGAGTAGCTGAATTCTTGTACAGTGTGTGACAAATCCTGTACTGTAAATGTATATATAAAGGCAGCATAGTGTAATGATGACAACTCTAGACCCTGGCGTCAGATTGCTGGTGTTCAAATCCTGGCTCCACCAATGTAAAAGGAAGAAAAAAAAACCCTTTTTTTCTTTTAAGTCTGTGCCCTCCCACTCAACTTGGTGTGGTATTTCTGACACTGTTTACTTGGAAATAATATCAGGTCCACAAGTTAAGAGCTCAGTCCCGCAAGACTGCCCCCACTTCAGATGCTGTTTGCAAGCCCCAGGTTGTGACCAGTGCTCCTAACTGACCAGCTGTTAATTGAGGTTCCCACAACCCCCTCCGTAGATCGAATTAATTTAATTGCAAGAACAGCCCACGGAACTCGGGGAAATAGTCTCCTTTAGTTTATCCATTTATTGTAAAAGATATTACAAAGGATACAGATGAATGACCAGATGGAAGAGGTGCATGCAACCTATGGGAAAAGAGGTGCAGCACTTCCAGGCTCTCTCCAGGTACCTCCAGGAACCTCCACACCTTCAGCGATCTGGAAGCTTCCTGAACTGTCCTTTTGGGTGTATGTGGAGGCTTCATTACATAGGCATGATTGATCACATTAATTGGTCCGTTGGTGATCAACTCAGCCTTCAGCCCCTTTCCCCTGGGGTTGGCTTGAGCAGGGGGCTGAAAGTTTCTGTCTGATCACATAGTTGGTTCCTCTGGGGACCAGCCCCTCATCCTGAGGCTATCTAGGAACCTCCAGCCATCAGTCATGCCATTAACATACAAAACACAGTCATCACTCTGAAGATTCCAGGGGATTTAAGAGCTGTGTGCCAGAAATGAGGGGCAGACACCAAATTTGTATTTATTATATTACAGCATCGCAACCAGTTACCATGTGACTTGGGCTTCTCTTTAGTGGAAAGTTAGGATAACAAGAGTATGTAGCTCATAGAATTATTGAGATTATACAGGTAAAGAGTTTAAATGGCGCCTGGCATACAGCTTCTGTAATAGTGTTAGCGGTCATTATTATATAGAGATACATAGAGGCCAATGTTACACGTTGGTAATTAGAGATCAAAAGAAAATCTTTTTGTAGACTGTCTTCCTGTTTAAGATGTGATGTTACAGTGCTGTTCCTCATTGAAGAGGCGTCTTGTACCATGAAACTGCATTTAGTAAAAGCAGATCTGTTGTGTTAATTCATTATATTGATGAATTAGCAGTCCACTGTGAGTCCACTGATCTGACTGATGCACTAGAGAACTGTAGAAACTTCATTATATAGGCTTTTTTTCCAACTGGAAATCCCATTTAACCAAAACTTTAAATGGACGATATGCCACTTGCATACTCTGAGTTCTGTTTTGTTTTTTCCCTAAGTGAGATAAAACAGCAAGGAAACCAGCTTTTGTCAGGATCACTCTATAGTTAGCACAGGTTCATATGCAGTTAATAGGTGGAGTAAATAATTTCTGGGATTCATGATGTTCCTGGGTACTTTTAAAATTGTTAAAAGGCAAGTATGTTCTCTAAATTTAGTGGAAAATATGTGAGGGGACAGGATCAAAAGCACAGTTACAGGGAGATAATTCTTCCCTTGAGACAGGAGGGAAGGAAAAAAGGTTACGGGAGCTAGAGAAAACGTGAGATGAAAAAAACAAAGTTTTAATAGATACTCATCATTCATCCAGCAAATGTTTATTGAGTATACTATGTGACCGGCATTTTGTTGGTTACTGAAATTAGATTAATAAACATTATACCAGCCCTCACAGAACTTTGGGTGGATGGTAATCAAATAATAACACAGATACCCGCAGACTCTGCAAGGGAAGTAGAGAGAGCTATGCAAGTGTCTGACATGGCATGTTGGACCATGCTAGTGGGTAAAGGAATGAGGGCAGCTTCTCTGAAGAAGGCCTGATCTCTAGATTAAGACATAGGGTTGGTATTGTGGCATAATGGGAAGTGGTTTGGAATGGCAGGGGAAAAAGATTTGCAAAAGTTGTCTTAGTAAAAGTGATCAGGAGTTAAAAAAGGATAAACACAAGTGTTAGCAAACACGAAGAGCTCAGCTTAGCTGTGGTCAGATATCCTCAAGGGTTTGTAGTGAAGCTTCAGCAGGAGCTGTGCTTCCTAACCTCAGTCATCTCTGTCTTGGGACAGAAGGATCCTTCCTCCTATGGCTGTGGGCAGAAGTTTGAGAATGATTGGTGTCCGGTTGACTGTTTTCAGAAAGTTTGAACCAGATTTTATTTGTTTGCATGTGAGAGATTCAGTGGTTTAACAGGATGTTGTCAGACTTTGATGATGAAATTGTTTTACCTTGACTTTTTGACCTACGCATAGTTGAAGCAAATCCTAGAAAATTTAACCTCGATGCAACTGAATTGAGTATAAGAAAAGCCTTCATTACAAGTACTCGGCAAGTGGTCAGGGTAAGGAATATGATCTTACTGTGTTCTCTTTATAAGACATAGCCAGACTTCTTAGAACTCTTTTCCTTAATTGTAAACTAATAGGTTACCTCTCATATCACTTTTTAAATGTGAATTAAATGCCAGTTTCCCCACAAATAATTTTGCTGATTGGCTGGGCATGGTGGCTAACACCTGGAATCTTAGCACTTTGGGAGGCAGAGGTGGGGTGGATCACTTGAGCCCAGGAGTTTCAGACCAGGCTGGGCAACATGACGAAACCCTGTCTCTACAAAAAATAGAAAAATCAGCTGGGCATGGTAGTGCACGCCTGTAGTTTCAACTATGTAGGAGGCCGAGGTAGGAGGATCAGGTTGAGGCTGAGAGCTATAATCATATCACTGAACTCTGCAAAAAAAAAAAAATTCATGATGGAAGAAAAAGAAATCTGTTTTTAGTTTTTCTTTTTTTGACACGAGGTCTCACTGTGTTGCCCAGGTTGAAGTATGGTGGTTCAGTCTTGGCTGACTGCAGTCTCCACCTCTCAAGTGATTTTCCTGCCTCAGCCTCCCAAGTAGCTAGGACTACAGGCGTGCATCCCCACACCAGGCTAATTTTTCGTAGAGACAGGGTTTCAACATGTTGCTCAGGCTGCTTTCAAACTAGTAAACTCAAGCAGTTCGGCTGCCTCGGCCTCTCAAAGGGCTAGGATTACAGGCATGAGCCACCATGCCCAGCCTGTCAGGCTTATTTCCGAGAGCAAAAATGAAGCAGTAATCGTTGGTTTTGGGCAGGGTACTTTAATGCTGTCATCCTGAATGATTAAACACTTGTCAATATCTCTAGTTTATTCAAGCTAGTTATCTTTCTCTCTTTTTATTTCTTCGTGTACTCTATTTCTTCATGAACAAAACAATTACTATTGTAGAAACCATTTGGTTTTTTTGATTGATTGGTAATCACTTTGCATTGTTGAAGAGTGACTCTTAGAGGGCTTGGATAGCAGCTTCTTCCACCATCTGAATTCCTTCTGGAACTCTTGCAACCCATGTTACTGACATTTCCATATGTAACTACTTGACAGCCATTCCAGCGTTATCCAGAGCAAACAAGCATCTATCAGAGTGTAAAAAATTGACCCAACTGAAATCTTTAGTCCCAAGTTATTTAGAGTAATAACCATTGTTAAAGAATCTAAGAAAAAACATTATTTAAGTATAATCTTGTGTCATTAAAATGTTTCATATTTTGAAACTATATGGCTAAGCCATTTGATTAGCATAACTAGATGTAAGAGAACCAGCTGTCTTTAACATATGTACTAGAAAGCAGCTTCCTTGAATAAAAAGACTTGGGATCATACCAGTGCTAACATATGGCTTTTTAAGAGTCATCTCAGGCAGGAACCTTAGTATGTGTTTGCCAAAGCCTTTATATCATGTGGTTTCCTTTTGAAATTATTTCAAATGGTAGATTATCACTGAACTTTATATATTATTGTTTCTTGTTTTACTCATTAGTTGCCCTTCTCTATACATATACGTAAATTGTTTATAAATAAACCCACGTTTTAATAAGAAAGAAACCTTTCTAGACCTCAGATGCCCCATCCACAGTGACTGTTTTGATTAGACACTCTTAATTTCTAGCCAGTTCAAAATACTGTTCTGATGAGGAAGCCTTGTGGTTAGGTGACATTTTTTGTAAGATAAATAAATCCCCAATTATTTTTTATAAGCTTTTTTTTTTGTAGTCAGTTATTTGAAGGACACTGCTATAGACATTAATATTTAAGTGGGGCCTTGCAGTGAAGTTTATGTCCTTAACCTTAATCATTATATTTATTATTTCTGCAAGGTAGACTTTCGAAGTTTGCAGCTTGAAATCCAAAGGTCCATATATTGAAAATTAAGTTCATTGATATAATGGAAAGAAGAATCCAAAGTTTATTTTCTAATATCTGAAAAGCTTTTTAAAGTACATTCTTAGAGGTTGATATGGTTTAGCTGTTTCCCCACCCAAAACCTGATCTTGAATTGTAATCCCCGTAATCCCATGTGTCAAAGGAGAGACCAGGTGAAAGTAATTGAATGAATCATGGGGGGGATTTCCCCCATGCTGTTATGATAGTAATCGAGTCTCATGAGATCTGATGATTCTATAAGGGGCTCTTCCCACTGTGCTCTGTCACTCTTTTCCCTGCCGCCTTGTGAAGAAGGTGCCTTGCTTCCCCTTCTGCCGTGATTGTACGTTTCCTGAGACTTCCCTAGCCATGCCAAACTGTGAGTAAATTAAACCTCTTTCCCTTATAAATTACCCAGTCTCGGGCAGTTATTTATAGCAATGTGAGAACAGACTAATAAGAGATATTCTAAATCAAGTCAGTACTTCAAAATATTACTGTCCTTTTAGAGTTGAGATCTAAACCATACTCAACTGTGTGATCCACCTGAATATTTTAGGGCTTTAAATCATTTTTGTTTAAATTTATGACCTGTTTGGGCGAAGCTGTTAGTATTTACCAGTGGTAGGCTAATAGTACCTAACTCAGCTTTTGCTGATCTGATTTTAATAAATTCTAGTTCAAAGTCCTATAGAAGATAAGGAAATAGCAATGGTGCTCACTTGATTAAAAATAAAAACAAAATACACCTGTGTAATTCCATGTTACCACGTTTAGCTAAGCAGTGTTTGTATGTTGAGATTTCTGGGTTCTGGGTGGAGGAGCTTGACAGAGAGGGATCAGGGAGTTAGCAGATTTGGAAAATGAGATAAAACCAAGTTCAAATTAGGAATTTGTAATATTTCTGTTAGCTCTTCTGTTACTGTTGTCAGTGGGCTTTCATTTAATGTTGCTCCAAAATGTTGACTATCTTTCAAACATTGTATTCTACTTATGCTTTCTCTTTTGTAGGCAGTGATACTCTATGCATTTTGAGTTTTTTTTCCCCTCTTTTTTTGCTTCAACCTGAAGATACAAATCTCCTGTTTCTTCTTGATTAAAGTCCATTGGTTATGCCTTTAGTAAGCCTTCCTTGTTTAGAGTCGTGTGTGTGTTTTTCCAAGCATCTTTTAAGTTTGTACAAATTCAGTTTTACTGGCAGTTTTTAGCAAAGAAACCAAAATATTCAAGTTTTTGTGTAAATAGCTTTCATATTTTTGAGGTGGTTGTTTTCACGCTTTTGGAATCACCTATACATCAAAGATTTTCCATGTGCAATATTTATGTTTTAGAAATACATCACAGAAGTGACCTTGGTTTTACTTTAGGATCAAAAGATTTTGTAATGTATGGCAGAACAACAGTAAATAAGGGGTAAGGGAACCTGAGTTCTAGGCTACGCTGTGACATTAATAAATGTTAACCATGGTAAGTCATTCAACCTCCGTGGATCTCAGTTTTATCAATGAAATAGTCCTCACTAACATTCTCTGACTTTAACTTTAAAAGTTAGAATCAGAACTATTACTCTCTCCAAGAAAAAAACCCAACCTGCTCCAATGTAGGAATTGTTTACAGTCAATTACAAGTCAAGATGGAAATGGCTTTGGTTAATTAAATAGGGTGAAGTATCCAGTGTGTGCACAGATGACCTTGAGATATAAGAGTTATGAGTGGGAAGCACTGGGATTTACGATGTCTCATTCATTCAGCTTGGAAGACAGTGTGAAATGGGAACAGGAGCATAAATAACCATGACATTTGTTGTTCCTTTCACGGATTAACCGTATTTTGTTGGGACTCACTATTGACTGCTGGTTCTAAAGTTCATGTGTTAGAAAAAAGATGAGTAATTATGTTTTTGGCATGATAGATTATTACAAAATGTTTAAAACTATTTAGTAACATAGTTTAAGATCCCACATTCTAATATGAAGGTGTTCTGTTTTGTGGTTTTTGACCTGCATGGATAAAGTGCCATCATAGAAGTGAAAGCCAACTAGGGCGCAGTGGCTCACACCTTTAATCCCAGCACTTTGGGAGGTTGAGGTAGGCAGATCAGTTGAGGTCAGGAGTTTGAGACTAGCCTGGCCAACGCGGTGAAACTCCGTCTCTACTAAAAATACAAAAATTTAGCTGGGCGTGGTGGTGGGCACCTGTAGTCCCAGCTACTTGGGAGGCTGAGGCCAGAGAATCGTTTGAACCTAGTGACGGAGGTTGTAGTGAACCAAGATTGTGCTGCTGTACTCCAGCCTGGGAGACAGAGTGAGACTCTGTCTCAAAAAAAAAAAAAAAAGGGAAAGCCATAGCTTATTACGTGCAGTGGTCACATAACTGAAAGCCATAGCTCCTTACCTGTGGTGCTGTCCCATACCGGATGCCCACCACAGGGCTGTCGGAAGAATCTGCCTCATCAGGGCTAACACCCATGAAAGCACACACATAACCCACATGGTTTTTATTAAGCATAAAACTTTAAAAACTGAAACTTTAAAATATATATTTTTTATATAATATAAGCTCAAAGAAAATTAGAGAAATTTTTCAAGAGGAAAAAGCAGAAAAAGGAACCTAAACTCAATATATAAAATATATATAATAACATAAAATATATATAATAATATATAAAATATATATTTTATATAATTTATATAATGTAAGCTCAAAGAAAATTAGAGAAATTTTTCAAGAGGAAAAAGCAGAAAAAGGAATCTAAACTCAAAATAATACACAGCACAAGACTGTTTTCTTCATAATTTTCCTCCCAGTGCAGTGCAGTTGTATTTTTACATAGTTATGATCATACCATTACACAATCATAGCATTTTATTTTCTTAAGTTAAAAATAATCTGTACTTGGTATTTATAAAATGCAAATAATTTTGATAGAAAGGAGAAAAAGGCCCCTTCATTCTCTTTTCACTCCCTAGAAATAATCAATGTCAACAATTTTTATTTTTGCAACCATTTTAAGGACATTGAAATACTTAAACTTTTTTTTTTTTTTTTTGAGACGGAGTTTCGCTCTTGTTACCCAGGCTGGAGTGCAATGGCGCGATCTCGGCTCACCGCAACCTCCGCCTCCTGGGTTCAGGCAATTCTCCTGCCTCAGCCTCCTGAGTAGCTGGGATTACAGGCACGCGCCACCATGTCCAGTTAATTTTTTGTATTTTTAGTAGAGACGGGATTTCACCATGTTGACCAGGATGGTCTCGATCTCTTGACCTCGTGATCCGCCCGCCTCGGCCTCCCAAAGTGCTGGGATTACAGGCTTGAGCCACCGTGCCCGGCCTACTTAAACTTTTAAAAAGCAGTGGCATGATCTATAATATTTTTCTATGAAAAATTACATTGTGGACATAGTCTTATAATGATACAGATAAATCTAGAGAAGTGCTGTTCAGTAGTGATAAAATGTGAACCTCTTGGTCATTTTTAATTTTCTAGTTGCTACATTAAAAGTAAAAAGTAGGTGAGCTTCATCTATTTTATGTAACCTAATATATTCAAAAGGTGATCATTTAAACATATAGTCAATACAAGGGATAGAGATTTAAATTTTTAAACTTTTTGTAATAAATCTGGCATGTATTTCATACTCCAGCATATCTCAATTCAGATGTGAAATTTTCATTGGAAATACTTAGAGTTGAAAAAGTGGAATCACAAACACAATTTTTCCAGACGTACTTAAATTTTTCTAATAACTGAATATCAATTAATTAAAATAAAATTCAGTTGCTCAGTTGCACTGACCACATGTTAGGTGCTCAGTAGCTAGTGGGTCCTGCATTACCCAGGAGCAGATTATCCTTTTTAATAGTTACATACTTTTATTTGGTGGTAATTTTTATTGAGTGCTTACTATATTGTTGGCTACTGTTAATCATGCTTCATGTGTTACCTCTATTAATCCCTGCAGTGATACTAAAAGATATTATCCTAAATGTACGGAAGAACTAGAAACTTAGCACAGCTATGAAAAAGAATAACTAAGTCTTAAACCTAGGTCTTTGACATGAAAGATTCTGCTCTTACCCTCTCCTCTAATGTGGCTCTGTTATGATTTTTTAATCATTGACCTACCAGTAGATATTTTGGTTATTGTTATTATTGGCAATTTCAAACCCTACTTCAGGGACCATCTTTGTGAGCATAACTTATGTATTTGTTTAAGTAGTAAAAAAAAAAAAATCAATGAGAATACACATTTGAAATATTCATAACGAGTCGTAGTGGGTCATGCCTATAATCCCAGCAATTTGGGAGGCCAAGGCAGGAAGATCACTTGTGAATTCAGGAGTTCAAGACCAGCTTGGGCAATATAGTGAGACCCCCATCTCTACCAAAAATTAAAAAAAAAAAAAAAGTAGGTGTGGTGGTGTATTTCTTTAGTCCCAGCTGCTCGGGAGGCTGAGGTGGGAGGATTGTTTGAGCCTGGGAGGTTGAGGCTGCAGTAGCTGTGGCGGCACCACTGTATTCTAGCCTGGCCATCAGAGTGAGATCCTGTCTCAAAACAAAAAATTGTTTTCAAAGTATCCTACAGAAAGAACTTATCAGTTATATTTCTAATAGGGTGTTAGAATACACCTTCACTAAGTATTATCAGCCTTTTTCATCTTTCTTCGTATAATCAGAGAAAATATCTCTTAGCTACACTTCTTTGATTACCCGTGGGTTATTGCATCTACTCATGTTTGGTCATTTGTGGGTTTTCTTGTGAATTGTCTGTTCACTGAACTCTCTTCATAAGCACAATCCCTAGTACAGTACATAATGCCTAGTATGTAACACGGCATTGTGCGGATTGTGTTGCTGTTCCCTTATTTGGAGTTGCTGCTTATTTCTGCTTTTTTTCATACTGCAAATAATACTGCAGTGCACATCTTTGCGTGTCTTTTTTGTATATATTTTATATGATTTCCTTAAAATAAATTCCTGTTAGTGGAATTACTGGGTCAAGGCAGTGAATATTTTGAGACTCATGGTATGGAATGACAAATTTATTTTCAAAGTGCTGGTCTAGTTTAGCATCCAGCCATTGTTTGGGACCAGTGGTATTTTAAAAAATACATTTGTTAAAGTATAACAGTATAGAAAAGTGTAATTAACCTAAATATATAGCTTAATAAATTTATAAACTGAACACAGCCATCTAAACAACCCCCAGAAGCATTGCAGAGTGTTACCAGCACCCCCAGAAGCCTACCTGTGCTCCTTTTCAGCCAATATCTACCTTCCACTGCACTGACTTCTAACAGCAAAGATACATCGTACATGTAACATTCAAAGGCTAACATGTCACTTTTCCATACATGCATGTTGGTATCTTTATTATGCAAGTCATGTGTTCATTGTTTTTTAAAAAAAGACTATAATGCAATGACTATATTTTTTATTTTATTTATTTATTTTGTAGAAATGGGGTTTCACTGTGTTGCCCAGGCTGGTCTTGAACTCCTGGCCTCAAGCGATCTGCCTGCCTTGGCTTCCCAAGTGCTGGGGCTGTAGGCTCAAGCTATAGTGCCCAGCTGAGTATATTTTTTAAAGCATGTATTATCTCCCTAGTGGATGTTGCTCTGCAGTTTTTAATATATATTAAATAAATCAGGCTGTTGGATTGACTATCAGAATGTCATCTTAAACTCTAATTGATAACCAGAAAGGGAATCCTGCAGTCCAGGAGATACTTCTGTAATGGTCATTCTCTCTTTGAGGCTTCTAGATTTCTGTTGTAAGACAAGGAATGGGGGTGGGGGGGTGCTTGTTAAAAGTGTGCCATCAAGAGTCTGATTTCATAGGTCTCAGTGGGGCCTAGGGAATACACTTAAAAATACTTGTAAAATTTTATTTATTGATACATAATGGTTGTGCATATTTTTAGGATACATGTGATATTTTGATACATATGTATAATGTGTAATGATCAAATCAAATGAAGGTAATTGGAATATCCATCATTTTAAACATTTTTCTTTATGCTGCAAACATTTGAATTATTCTCTTCTTGCTATTTGGAAATATACAATAGATTATTGTTGAACTTTAGTCTACCTACTGATCTGTTGAACACTAGGTCTTATTTCTTCTAAGTGTATGTTTTACCCGTTAATCAACCTCTCTTCATCCTGCTTTCCCCCTGCACTCTTCCTGGCCTCAGGTAACCAACCACCTATCTATCTCTATCTTCATGAAATCCACCTTTTTAGCCCCCACCTATGAGTGAGAACATGCAGTATTTGTCTTCCTGTGCCTGGCTTATCTCACTGAGCATAGTGACATCCAGGGAAACTGCATCTTTAACAACACTCACGTGACTGACTTGCGCACATCATCCTGATGTGAGCTCCATGTGTGCAGGGACCTACCTAGTATTCACCGCTGTATGCCTGGCCACATAGTAGACATCAGTGAGTGAGTGCTAAGTGGGTAAGTGGTTTGAAAGTTGAATCAGGTGGGTCTCACTCCCACTTACTATAGTACTGGGATTGTAAAAGTGGTGGCACTGTCTGATCTACCGTTCACTTGTCATGGGTCTTTAAAAAAGTTTTTAAAAGTCTTATACTTTAACATCTGTGTAAATTATAAAGTATTTTGACAGCCTTTAAAAATTTTTTTATTGAAGTCACGATGTATTCAGTTCAAATCATTATCTAGTATGTTGGATTGTAGCTAAATAAATAGAATGACTCATTTAATAAACTGTTTTGCTTCAGATAAAGTAATGGATCTATTCAATTTTCATTCCATACAAAATTATTTTTGACACCACTCTGGAAATTCACTTTGATGTTAGGGTTAGTCTATACCTTTAATGAATCCAACTCAGAAATAAAACGTGTTGTGACCGGGCACGGTGGCTCAAGCCTGTAATCCCAGCACTTTGGGAGGCCGAGGCGGGTGGATCACGAGGTCAAGAGATCGAGACCATCCTGGTCAACATGGTGAAACCCCGTCTCTACTAAAAATACAAAAAATTAGCTGCGCATGGTGGCACGTGCCTGTAATCCCAGCTACTCAGGAGGCTGAGGCAGGAGAATTGCCTGAACCCAGGAGGCGGAGGTTGCGGTGAGCCGAGATCGCGCCATTGCACTCCAGCCTGGGTAACGAGAGCGAAACTCCGTCTCAAAAAAAAAAAAAGCAAAAAAAAAAAAAAACCTGTTGTACCCCTATTTGAAAGTATTCTTTGGTGCTTAATAGTAAATATAGTTTATACTAAAAGCACATGTTTTTTTAACATATATTATAAAAAAGATAACCCTCGAACATGTGCATTTGTGTTTGTACCCCAGGGATGTTCTTTACTAGTGATGTGACTTTGAGAAAGTATCATTGTTGTTTTGGACCTACGTCTCCTCAACCTTAAAATGGAAATAGTACCAGCTTCACAGCGTCCTTGTGAAAATTCATTGATAATGTGTGTACATGTTTAGCATTATTTCTGACCTGTGGTAGGTACCTGGTAAATGTTAATTCTGTTCCTCTTTCCTCCTATTTAAATTAGTAGCCAGGTTACTTGTTTTTAAGGGACCATCTTTCTTTTTGTTTTCTTTTCTTTATTTTTGAGATTGAAAATAAAGCCAAGAAATGCTGTCTTGTTTTTAAAAATAATAAATTGTGTGTTTTGCTATTGTACGAAATGTTAACTGTAATTTTGTTTAAGGATGTGCTTCATTTGTTTTCCTATCTTCTTTCTCATTAGGACATGAAAGATCAGATGTCAACTTCTTCTGTGCAGGCATTAGCTGAAAGAAAAAATAGACAGGTGAGAAAACATCAGGATATAATTATCAGTGAGGGAAAGTATACAGTTAGATATTTGATATTTAAAAATGCTGACCATCCATGGATCGTGTAATTAAGAGGAAGACCTCTGCATGCAGGCCCCGGTGTGACCATGGGAGGTTTGGTGACAGTCCAGGCAGCCTGTCCCAGCACCCTGTCAGCGTTTCCCTCCCCTTTCTCACCTTCTGATCCTTTCCTGGGGGCTCCCATAGTACCTTTTGCCTACCCTTACTATAGCACTGATCACAGAGTACTTTTACTGTTTTCATGTGTGTATTCTGCACCTGTGGAGCACATTTCTGTGTGCTAGGCTCTTTTAAGGGCTGTCATTACTTACTGTCTTTCTCTCTGCTGGGCCCAGGCCCCATGAGAGTAAGGAGAGATCTGTGTCTTGGTTTTTAGTTATTTGTTTTCTTTTTGTTTGTTTTTGTTGTTGTTGTTGTTTTTGAGCTCTCTAGTAGTTAATACATTGCTTACCCAGTGGAACACATTAGACGTCTAAGGATTGACATTTGATGTAAAGACATTAGAGGAACCTTAAACTTGTGTGTTAAATTTCTCTTTAAGTAGTTTTTAAAAATTACATACTTTGGCATATTTATAGAAACTGCTTTCTAATTGTTAACATACAGTCCTTTTAAAAAAATGTAGAATGGTCATCTAGAATTTACACTTTAATTTAGATTGAAATTTGATTTAGACCTTTTTGGTGGGATAGAATGTTTTTTGCCTGTTGCTAAACTGTTAGGTGATTTTTTTGACAGAAGTAGTTTTTAAAAATTCTGTGGATATCCATTTTCCTTAGGAGTAAACAGTAAACAGTATCATGAAAAATGATACTGTTTGTTTTAAACGAATTATCTTAACCTCATTTTATTCAGATTCCAGAAAGTTATGAATTGTCCATATAGTAGGCTCTTGAGAAATCTTGCTATTTTTACTTAACTAGCAATCAGTACTTCATAACATAAATCCTTACTTTATACCTGTGAGTGTTTGTCAAGCCACTTAATTTTGAAAACAAATATTATGAAAGCTTGAAGAAGGGGGAAGATTCTATAAATACCACCTGACTTAATTTTTCTGTTTCCTTTTCTTGCATTCCATTTTTCAAGTCATTGTTTTGTTTTTGGCTTTTTAATCTTATTTGCCTCCTTTGCTTTTTTTTTTTTTTTTTGATCAGTACAGCTAGGAAAAGTTACTAGCTGGTCCATTCCATCTGGCTTCCTCTCTTGAAAGAAGCTAGTGAATGGCCTCAAGTTGGCTAGTTTTGGAGTTCTCTTCTTATTTGCACTTGACCTTATAGGAAGTGGAAGTACCTGAAGTAGTTGTGACAGTGAAGTTGGTAACACCTATGCTGTCACCCTTAACTTCAATGTTTTATTCTCTAGATAGTATAGGCTATTATTCACATTAGTATGGGCTAATGTGAATAAAATGGGTATACATATTGCCTGTCCAAGTATGGCTTGGAATTTGGTTTTAGGCCATGAGTGAAATGTCAAGTTGCAAATTTTTAAGGAACGGCAAGGCAAGGGCTTTCTAAGCCTCCAGCAGGCATGGGCCTTGCTGTGTCATGCCAGGCACACACACAGGTGCATCTCCCAGTGCTTGGCTCCTCTCTCAATCTCTTTCCCATTATCACAGACCTCTACGGTCAGACCAATGAACTTTAAGCTACTTTACAATAAAATGTGGATGATTTGCCCTATACTTAGCTCTGCCTAAGTGTAGACCATGGAAAATGTAGGCAAAATAGCCCTGTGACCTCAGGAGCACACAAGGCCCTGGTGATGTCCCAGTTCACTGTCCTTAGGCCAGTGATGCATTATAGACTTTTTCTGACCCTAAAAAAATTGTCACTAGTTCCTCATGTCTTCCAAGGTCCTTAGAGTCTGGATCAGCATGAGCAGGATCTTTTCAGTGTCGACAGCCCTAAGAGACCGGGTCAGGGCAGGACCACCCACAAAAACCCTTGGATCTGCTTTACACCAGACAGTCACCATCCAGCCTCTTGACTGGACTAAAGCTCTGGGCCGCTGGGAGCTCTTGTAAGAAGAGCTTCTAATAACTGAGCTTCTTAGAAACTCTGCTAATAACCACCTCAGAACATAGCACACTGCATCCTGAGCTGCCCTGATCCTGGCCCCTGAAGTCTGGCCATTTGATGGAGTTCACCCCTTGCAGTCTGAGAAGAGGTCAGTGTCAGTATGAAGGAAGATCATGAGGCTGTTAGAAGGGTTTTCAGACAGAACCAACCAGCCAGGCTTTTAATAGTGCCAGAGATTTTAAAAAAATTATTACCTGATAGGAAATGGAAACTCTACAAGGAAAAAGAGTCTTAGTTGCTAGCGTCTTCTGGCTCTTGGTGCACAGCTGGTGCGAGCAGTTACTTTGCCCCGTCAGAAAGCCTTGTGGGCATCTGGTCAGAACCAACTGTGGAGACTGAGCTCTCACATTCCTGCCTGGCCTCTTCATGTGAGGAAGACATACCCAACCTTACCCATTTATGGCTGCAGACTTCCCTAATTTCATGCTTCAGAAACCCGGCCCTGTTGTCTGGGAGCCGTGGTGGAAGACTCGGACTTTAGGGCAGCCCTTGCCTAGGTTGCCAAGGTCAGGGATTCCTTGTGGTCATACCTGCCTGGTGAAGCAACCCCATTTGTCATCTGGAAAGCCTGAAGGACCCTGGATTCTATTCATGGGTTAAACTTAACAGACATTGATGGTTCTTAAGCCTTTTGTGTTTGAAGGGCTATGGCTTACCTGCTGGTTGTTCTAGGGAACTCTCCCCTTCCCCACCAAAACCCCCCAAAACTTCCCTGGGTCACACTTTTCTTAAAAAAGTACTCTAGATCTTTGGAATCAGGTTGACTGGAACCTATGGGTTGCTGAAATTCCACAGGTACCAGGAAGAGCTCTTTTACAAAAGATTGAGTGCTTTTCAGTTATAACACAGTATCTAGGTGGGCATTTGTTGATTTAGCAGGCATTTATTTGCACTTGAAGGGACAAAGCCCATTGTGAGGCCTATTGGGAGAGCTTAAACAGAGAGAGGGCCCTTCTGGAATTCCTTAAATTGTACCACACAGGCACCAGATCACATCACTACATAAAAGCCTGGCCCAGGGGAAAATAGATGATAAGAAATGTGAAAACTCTTTATATCACTCTTGATGCTTCACTTGTTCAAGATAGTAACCGTTTGTTTCTCCTGACTCCTCCGGTTGTCCTGCTCACACAGGCACTGCTGGGAGACAGTGGCAGCCAGAACTGGAGCACTGGAACAACAGATAAATACGGGCGCCTGGACAGAGAACTCCAGCGAGCCAATTCTCATTTCATTGAGGAGCAGCAGGCACAGCAGCAGGTACCCCGAGGGGCCCGGGCTTAGGATGGGGCAGTGGGAAAAAATAAACCCACCTTAGTTCCTTTGCCAGCCATGGGGTCTCATGGCTTAATGACAAGTGCGGTAAGCCAGAGCTTGTCCTGTGGTTTATTGTGTTTAAATATTTAATGATTACATTCATAAAGAGTTTCAGAATCTTCACAGCATGACTGCTTCAAGAGAACCAAGCTCAGCCAGGCATGGTGGTTTATACCTTTAGTCTCAGCTACTCAGGAGGCTGAGGCCAGAGGATCCTTCAGCCCAGGAGTTCAAGGCTACAGTGAGCTTTGATCATGCCTTTGCACTTTAGCTTGGGTGACAGAGCAAGACCCTGTCTCTAAAAGCAAAGGACCAAGTGGCCTGGTGCGGTGGCTGACCCCTGTAATCCCAGCACTTTGGGAGGCCAAGACGGGCGGATTATGAGATCAGGAGATCGATACCATCCTGGCCAACATGGTGAAACCCCGTCTCTACTAAAATAAAAAAATTAGGTGTGGTGATGCGCGCCTGTAGTCCCAGCTACTTGGAAGGTTGAGGCAAGGGAATCGCTGGAACTTGGGAGGTGGAGGTTGCAGTGAGCCAGTTATCGCACCACTGCACTCCAGCCCGGTGACAGCGAGACAACCTTTCAAAAAAAAAAAGAACCAAGCTCGGTTCTCTTAGAAAAAGCAGATCTTTGTTCATTTCAGCAAAGGCACTTTCAGAAAGATCTCATTTTTTTCATTGAAAATTATTCATTGGTTTCATGATATATAAAGTTGACTGCTTTTGTGTATGGTAAGGGTAGGAGGGAAATGAAGTGGACTATGTCTGTTGTTGCCTCTGATGTGTAGAGCTGTATTAATAAAAGGCAGCTAATGATAATGTGTCTGGGGATTTGAGGAGCATGTATCCGTTGAAACTGTTGATTATTAAATACAGTGCTTTATGTATACAGATAGCTTATATGTTCTTTTGTTCTTTACATTAGTACGTCTGCCTAACAAGTGTTTACTTAAATTGCTATTAAACCCAGCAAAATTTTTCCTATAGAAAGTGAGAAGAATACAACACAACTAAAAGTAAATACTTGTCAGTCAGTAGTTGTCCTTAAGGTAACTTATTGCCCTGGGGCATCTTGAGTTTGTCCTTGAAGAGGGAGGAGAGTCTGTGTGCCTAGTTTCCCCACATCCAGAGATTTGCCAGACTCTCTTGTATTTAAGCTGTGGCAGTCTGTTGTGGATTGAGACCTTGATCTTGGCAGTGGGCTTCCTCCTCCCAAACATCCCCGTGTCTCAGTGGTCATCTGCACGTGTGCTTTCAGCCATTGTCTGCTCCATTATTGGATGTCAGCCAACCGGAGTAAATCTCTCTTGGTGGTTTCAAACCCCGCTGACTGTTCACAAGTTGGATCAGCAGGAGATATCAGTAGCTTGACAATCCAGCCCTTTGAGCAGTGTGTTCTCAGAGGCAACGGTCTGGTCCTTTGATTTCTGGGCTTTGCTTCTGAATGTGAATTGTCCCAAGTTGGCAAAGAAACTAGCAGCTGCTAGAGTGCTGGGCTTGGAACCAGGTAAGATGGATTTTAATTGCTTATTTCCCATTTCTCTGGCACCAGTTGATTGTGGAACAGCAGGATGAGCAGTTGGAGCTGGTCTCTGGCAGCATCGGGGTGCTGAAGAACATGTCCCAGCGCATCGGAGGGGAGCTGGAGGAACAGGCAGTGTGAGTATTGAGACGCCCCTCTTGCTGCAGTGAAACTGAGGGGCAAAACCATCCTACAAGGCCCCTAAAAAGCCTGGCAGCTACATGGCTGGTAAAACCAAAAGCTAGTTTATTCATTGCTGCATTTTAAATTCTTTTACAGACTAGCCTCCCCAAAAGAAACAAATCCACTCGGTAAATTTTACTACAGGCTTTAGGCAAAGTTGTTATTTTTGTAAACACCTCCAAAAACAGACACAGATTTCTCTGAGCAGATACTCGAAGTATAGTTATGAATGGGAATGTGAAACAAAGAAGCCTCTATAACCTGTGGCGATTTTCGTTTCAAAGAGGATAGGACCTGAGCTGACTTTATCATCCCATGACTCTCCTGCTACATTGAACAAACACTTTTTGCTTTGAATCTTCAATTATCGTAACTTTTTTTTTTAAGTTACAAAGTTCACTACAGTTAATGAGGAAAAAATCTTCCCTCTCAAAAAAATAAAAACAAAACATAACTTCAGTTTGTTTTTCCTTGTGAACAATCCCTTTTGCACTCAGAAGTTTGATGGCAAAAACTACATTCTTAAATGCTGCCACAGGATACCTTTATCATTTTATAAACATTTTGCTGGAGAAAAATAATAAAACAGTTCACCAGGATATTTCAGAAACTTTCCTGTCTCAATATTATGTTTATTATTACACATCCATTCATTATAAATTCTTAGCACTTGTTCTATACCAGGCCTTCTGGAAGCCTAGGGATATAGAAGGGAGCAGAACAGACAAGACACCCCATCTCTGCCAAAGAGTTTGCCACTTGCTGGGTAGAACGGACATTGTGTAAGTGGTGGGGGTGTCATTAGGTGATGGCAGTGGTGTGGGAGGGCCCCTGTGATGGGGCCAGTGCATGCCTGGAGAGCCCTAACTTAGCCCAAGGTCCCTGAGGAAGAGGGGTTTAACTGAAACCTGAAGGATGTGTGGACGCTAGCCAGGTGAGGTGAGAGTTAGTGTGAAGTCAGGTAGCATGGGGAACGTAGACCAGGAGGAAGAAAGTGCACCTGTGAAGATAAGAGGTGCACACGTGCATGAAGCAGAGAGGTTCCATGTGTCTCAAGGCAGAGAAGAAACCAGGGGAGTCCTTGTCAGCATGGTAAGGAGGTAGGACTACTTAGGCTCAGTGTGATGAGAGACCGGTAGAGGTGAGGTTAGGAGTGATGGTGTGATCAGGTGTGATTTAGATGATGCGCTGTAGTGGAACCAGGTAGGGAGACCAGGTGGGAAGCTGGAGTAGCCAGATGTGTTTCATTTCTACCTAAAATGGGCCTTGACCCTAAAGTTCACTTTGAGGATGGGAAGGGACTAATGGCCTGAGCTTGTCTGTTGATGAGGCAGCGTAGCTGGGCAGTGGGCAATAGAGTCTGAGGGACTTCCAGTGAAAAATGGTGAATTGACACACCCCTACCTCCACTCCCTCTCCACAGCTCACTAGAGCAATAGTAAAGGGGTTTGTTTTCAAGGGCATGAAACCACTGGGCATGGTGGTTTACACATGTATTCCCAAGTGCTAGGGAAGGAGGCTGAGGTGGGAGGATTGCTTGAGCCCAGGAGTTAGAGGCTGCAGTGAGCTACGATGGCACCACTGTACTCCAGCCTGGGTAACAGAGGAGACCCTGTCTCTAATAAAATAGAAATAGCAGATAATTGGGAAAAACATAGGATTTGGACTGAGGTCTGTGCTATCCAATCTAATAGCTACTAGCCACATGTGGCTGATGAGTAAGTGATCTGTGGTCAATCTGAGTTGAGATGTGCTCCAGGGTAGAATGCATACTGGACTTTGAAGACATAGTATGGACAAATGTAAAATAGCTTATTAATAACTTTTTTTTTTTTTTGAGACGGAGTCTCGCTCTGTCGCCAGTCTGGAGTACAGTGGCGCAATCTTGGCTCACTGCAACCTCTGTCTCCTGGGTTCCAGTGATTCCCCTGCCTCAGCCTCCTGAGTAACTGGGACTGCAGGTGCGCACCACCATGCCCAGCTAATTTTGTATTTTAATAGAGACAGGGTTTCACCATGCTGGTCAGGATGATCTCAATCTCCCGACCTCGTGATCTACCTGCCTTGGCTTCTCAAAGTGCTGAGATTATAGGCATGGGCCACCATGCCTGGCCTTATTAATAATTTTTTATATTGCATGTTGAAGTGATAGTATTTTGGCTACATTAGGCTAAATACAACAGAATATTAATTTCATTTGTTTCTTTTGAAATTTTTAAAAATGTGGCTACTGCAAAATGTAAAATGGCATACGTGACTCATATTTTTGCTGGATGTTATTGAGATAGATTTGGGCTAGCAACTTCATTGGTGAGTGTCCATGGACTGAAGGGCAGGTGATGTGCCTGTTTTGTCTTCAGTAAGAAAAACCATAACCAGCGCACAAAGGTAGCTCTTGCTTTTCAGTGTTTGGCGCTGCCTGCCAGCTGCAGGGCCATGATGCTGCCAGGATCTAAAATGAGATAAATATGTTTTGATTTGAAAATTTAGATAAGGGACAAAGACTTGTTTATTGAGTTGTCAATAGGAGTTGATGTAATAGTTAATTTAATGAAGAGTTGGTTGCCCCATCCTGCAAGGCTGTCAGGTGTCTGGTGTGGAGAGATCGAGACCAGCAGTTTCTAGCTGTCAGTGATGCTGTCAGACTTACTACAGCCTTTTTAGTGAGACCCTTAGTACTAATTGGTATGTTGCATTCTAGCCTCAGAACAATCATTTACTAATCAGCAGTTGAAAAGTCTGGACTATTTAGTGATTTTTCTAGGCACTCCTAAAAGAGTATTTTGGTGTTTTCTTTCCCAGATGCACATTGGACAGCAAATAGTGTAAGCCTGCTGGAGTCAGTTCTCCTAGTGGGAAATAACTGGTTTCTCTGTGAGGACAGATGGGGAGACACGTGTATGCGTGGGTGCACATACACACTCTCACACACACCCCATCAGGGATGTATGTTAGTCCTGAGGTCTTCTGGGTTTATGATAAAGCTTAGAGCGCTTTCTAGGAGATTATTTTATTAAAGCACATGCCTGAACTCATATTGACACAAAGTGCTTTAGTATATTACCTGGTTCTCACAAGAGCCCTGTGAGGGAAGTTGAGCTGATAGGATTGTCCTGTTTTACAGGTGAGGAAACAGTCCCAAAGAGTTGTAGGGTACATTGTCCAAGGTAGCAATGTAAACAAGCGGCAAAGCCTGATTGTCTGCCTCAGATAGCGTTGTTTCTACCACATTGCACTAGCACTGAGTTTGTGTTATTGTTTAGACAGATCCATACTGCCTTGTCTGCATTCAGTTCTGAAATCTAGAAAGCTCTAAAAAGAAATGTCAATGTGTTTCTTTAAATTTGCAGCAAGGTTATGTTACAGAAAAACCTCACCTGACTCCACCTGTGACTCCTCATAGTTTTCTCTGCAGAAATATTAAGTATCTGATTATGGGGACTGCCCCAGACCCTGCTGGTGGTATTGACTAATACAAAGCATATTTTTAAATCTCAAGAATTCCAAAATCAAAATCATATCCTGTCCCAAGGATTTTGGATACTAGACTAAGGTCCTGAATCCCAGCGTTGCCTATTTTGTTTGCTAAAATATAGGCCTAGTCGTGTTAACCCAGTGCAAGTGCACTGCCAAGGCTTTGTGCTTACAGCGACCTCTGTACCTGCTTTTCTCTAGTATGTTGGAAGATTTCTCTCACGAATTGGAGAGCACTCAGTCCCGGCTGGACAATGTGATGAAGAAACTTGCAAAAGTATCTCATATGACCAGTGGTATGTATGGTGTTTAAGCATTTGTACTTAATTCTAGAACTCTGTCTAGGGGCGTTGTCTCATAGTTATGCCCATGCAAATCCCCCCCCCCTTTTTTTTTTTTGAGACCGAGTCTCTGTCACCCAGGCTGGAGTGCAGTGGTGCCATCTTAGCTCACTGCAACCTCCACTGCCTCCTGGATTCAAGTGATTCTCAAGCCTCAGCCTCCCGAGTAGCTGGGATTACAGGTGCATGCCACCATGCCTGGCTAACTTTTGTATTTTTAGTAGGGACAGGGTTTCACCTTCTTGGCTAGTCTTGTCTCGAACTCCTGATCTCAGGTGATCCTCCCGCCTCAACCTCCCAAAGTGATGGGATTACAGGCATGACCCATTGTGCCTGGCTGATCCTTTAGTTATGGCACAATTTTTTTTTTTTATGATACCCTAGAATGGAAGACTGGTATGTGCAGTTTTTATCTTCTGCTTGTAGCCTTAACTTGGGAAAATATCTCTGTGCTCCCCCACCGTGTTCAGTTTTTTTTTTCCCAGTAGTATAACTTTCTTTGCAATTACAAAATCGATCTTTATTTTATTGGTTTTTTAAGATTTCCTTGCCAAAATAGGGAACTTTTTTAAAACAACAGTTAAGCAAGTTACTGTTTCTCCTCAACATTCTTTCATTGATAGAAAAACAGCTGCTATAGAATAAGATGGCGTGCATGGATCTACTTTAAATTGTTTATTTGAATAAATACTGAAATACTCCGGCAAATTTGCACCAGGATGAGGATGAAGCAACAATTTTCAGATTATTGTATATGTTCCAGTGACTCTTTACATGGGAAATAATATATTTTAAATTTAAAAATCCAGTATCTCTTCTTTATCTGGTGGGGGCAGCTTGGTAGAAGGAGAAACTGAGATGCTCCTTGAGGTAATCCGAATGTTCTGGGCTGTAGAACACCTCCCTTGCGTTAGAACATCCCCTATGGACACCTCATTCTTCTATTGGTTTCTTGCTGTCAGGTACATGTTATAAGGTTTAATAGGGTAGCTCTTTGAGGCAAGATTTAAATACATATGCATGTTTACTTCTTATAAGTTTAACTCAGGTTACATAACAGTTCTCTGGGCTCCGTTTCTTATCTATAAAAATAGATTGAGTCCTACCTCTCCAGGTCATTGTAAAGATTAAATGAAATAAGGATAAAGTAAAACTGTTTAACTGCATTTACCATGTATTTATTGATACTTAGTAAATATTTTTAAGAAATTGTAAGGCAACAAAAATTGTAATGGCCCCAAGGGGTCTCTCTTCTTCCACCTTCTCCCCTCTATTTAAAAACAAAAAAGTGGGGCGTGGGGGTTAATGAAGGGTTACATAGCAAGTTTAAACTCCAAGCCTCTCACTCATGTATGTATAGTCACAAAGTCAAGTAGCTACTTCGGCACCAGTTTTGTTTGGGGAAGAGCAAGTGAACAAAGATGCACTGTCTTTATTTCCCAGCATTCTGGGTATGAATAATTTAGAAAAGTACTTGCATTGTGATAAGCAGCCCAGTGTATATAAATAGCACTGACGTTTGCTTAGGCTTTATTCTACTTTTTCCCAAAAGAAAAATTGGGGAAGCAGTGTTATTACTTTGGTTGTATTTGTGTAAGAAAAAGAGCCAGGAAACAGAGCATTTATCCTGAAGGGAGCTTCACTTTTGACAGGTTGCTTGTGTTTTCATTTTAATCTTTGCTTGCTACCCAAAGAAATACTCCCTAAGGACCTCCTCCTGCTTGGTGCTTTCTGCTTCAGTTTGACAAGCAAGCAGTTTGTACTGGTCTCTGCCCTCCTCCATACTTTTTGCAAAAGTTCACTGCTTTGTAATCAAACCTGTATATAAAGGAAGCCTATGGAGGCACAGTGAAGTGTGATTAAGTAGTTAGGAACACACAGGCTTCACGGTTCTTCGGAGGCAGAACATCTCCGCTCCCCATGGCTATCTGCTTCCTGGGGAGAAACCAACCAAGACTCTACATTTACTCTTTTGAATGACCCAAGAGGGACACTGATTTTATTATTCTCCTACGCACAGAAGTATTTTTAGTAGATACTGAGATTTTTTTTCCTTCTCACTTTCCAACATTCTCTTCATCTTTTTAGGGGAGGAAAATATTTTGAGAGAGAGGAAAAAAACTATGATTGGAGTTCTTTTGTTCCCTCTGACTTTTGAGGCAGGTCCTGAGCTTGCAATGCTGCTTAAAACTTTCCACTTGGTCACAAAAGGCCCTGTGGTTAGTACCCGTTCCTTCTATGCATGGAGCCTCTGCGGGAAGTGCTGAGAAGTCTGCTGGGGTAACAGCTCCCTGGGGCTACCTATTGCCTAGTTCATGCTTCATAGAGGCAGCTTAGCCACTTCAGAGGAAAACGGCTTTAAAAGAGCATCCTTGGGTTGTGCTGGCTTGTGTGGTATATGCTTCTCCTTGGTAAAATTCTACGTAATACAGTTGTGGAAGAGAAAGTGATTGGAGGGTGGTAGGGGCGCGAGTAGAGAGGCTGACGGAAAGCCAAAGAGTGGGAATCTGATTCAGTGTTGGAAATCTGGTCCTGAGAATGGCGAGATGCCTGGGGGAAGGGAGTAGACATGCGTGTGAGGTTGAGGGAGGGGTGGAGAAGGAAGCAGATACGTCTTCTGTTTTCATCCTGAAAGAATAGCAACTAATTTTAATGAAGTGGTTTGAAATTATTGTAAGCATTTTAATATTTAAAAAATTAATAAACTTTTTAGAATAGTTTTAGGTTCTTAGCAAAATAGAGCAGGAAGTACAGAGTTCCCTTCCCACACTCGTAATCTCCCTGACTCTTGACATCCAGCATCACGGTAGTCCATTTGTTATAGTCAGCCTATGCTAACGTATTAATCATCTGCAAAGACCGTCGTTTGCATTAGGATTCACTTGGTGTTGTACATCCTATGGATTTGGACAAATGTATAAATGACATGTATCCATCATTGCAGCATCACACAGAGCAGTTTCACTGCCCTAAAAATCCTGTGTTCCACGTGTTCATCCCTCCCTTCCTCCAGCCTCCCCAACTACTGATCCCTTGACTATCTCCACAGTTTTGCTTTTCCAGCATGCATATGGTTGGAATCATAGCACAAATCCCTTTCAGATTGACTTCTCTCACTTAGTAATGAGCATCTAAGTTTCCACTATGCTTTTTCATGGCTTGATAGCTATTTCTCTTTTAACACTGAATAATATTCTATTGTCTGGATGTACCACAGTTTATCCATTTACCTACCGAAGGACATCTTGGTTGCTTCCAAAGTTTGGGAATGATGAATAAAGCTGCTACGAATACCCATGTGCAAATTAGCCGGGGGATAGGGGTGGGGGGTGCGCACCTATAATCCCAGCTACTTAAGCATGAGAATCACCTGAACCCAGAAGGCGGACGTTGCAGTATGCTGAGATGTCAGCACCGTACTCCAGCCTGGATGACAGAGGGAGACTCCGTCTCAAAACAAACTATGTGCAGGTTTTTATGTGGACATTGGTTTTTAAGTTCATTTTGGTAAGTAACAAGGTATGCGATTGCTGAATGGTTATGGTAAGAGTATGTTTGGGTTTTGTAAGGAAAACCAAACCGTCTTCCAAAGTGGCTGTACCATTTTGAATTTCCACTAGGAGATCGTATTGCTTCACATCCTTGCTAGCATGTGGTATTGACACTGTTGGGAGTTTTGACCATTCTAATAGGTGTGTATTGTTTCTTGTTTTAATTTGCATTTCCCCAGTGACACCTAATGTTGCACATCTTTTCATATGCTCCCCTGCCATCTCTTTCATTTTTTTTTTCTTTCTTTGATACAGAGTCTCACTCTGTCACCTAAGCTGCAGTGTAGCGGCCCAATTTCAGCTCACTGCATCTGCCTTCCAGGCTCAAGTGATTCTTGTGCCTCAGCCTCCCAAATAGCTGGGATTACAGGCCTGCCCTACCACGCCCAGCTAATTTTTGGTTTTTTAGTAGAGATAGGGTTTCACCATGTTGGCTAGGCTGGTCTTGAACTCCTGGGCTCAAGTGATCTGCCCACCTTGGCTTCCCAAAGTGTTGGGATTACAGGCATGAGCCACCATGCCCAGTCCCATCTCTTTTTTGGTGAGGTGTGTGTTCAGGTCTTTTGCCCATTTTAAAAATCAAGCTGTCATCTTACTGGTGAATTTTTTTTTTTTTTTTTTTTTTTTTTAAACAGAGTTTCGCTCTTGTTACCCAGGCTGGAGTGCAATGGCGTGATCTCAGCTCACCGCAGCCTCTGCCTCCTGGGTTCAGGCAGTTCTCCTGCCTCAGCTTCCTGAGTAGCTGGGATTACAGGCACGCACCACCATGCCCAGCTAATTTTTTGTATCGTTAGTAGAGATGGGGTTTCACCAAGTTGACCAGGATGGTCTTGATCTCTTGACCTCATGATCCACCCGCCTCAGCCTCTCAAAGTGCTGGGATTACAGGCTTGAGCCATTGCGCCCGGCCTAAGTTTTAAGAATTCTTTGTATAATACATTCTGGACAACAGTCATTTATCAGATGAATCTTTTGCAAACATTCTACCCCAGTCTGTGGCTTGTCTTCTCATTCGTTTTGGCAGTGACTTCCACAGAGCATAGTTTTTAATTTTAATGACATCCCGATTTCAAGTATTTCTTTCATGGATATATAATGCCTTTGGTGTTGTTCTAAAAAGTCATTGCCATACCCAAGGTCATCTAGGTTTTCTCCTGTGTTTTCTTTCAGGAGTTGGATCATTTTGCAGTTTACATTTAGGTCTGTGGATACATTTTGAGTTCATTTTTGTTAAGCTGTAAAGTCTGCATCCCACTTCATTTTTTTGGCATGGATGTCCAGTTGTTTCAGCACCAATTGTTGAAAAGACTCTCTTTGCTCTGTTGTATTGCACTTGCTCCTTTGTGAAAGATTCGTTGACTATATTTCTGTCAGCCTATTTCTGGACTGTCTGTTCCATTGATCTGTTTGTCTGTTTTACTGATACTGCATTGTCTTGATTGATGTTATGGTAAATCTTGTTGTTCTGCATTTCTGGAATATTCTGTTTGAGACTTTTTTCAGTCTTTTTTTCTTTTTTCAGGTTTCTGTTGATAAAATGTCAAGCTCAGAATCCTTTCTTTAGCTGTGATTAGCCCACTAATGAGCCCATCAAGGCTATTCTTCGTTTGTGTTACAGTGTTTTTGATCTCTCTTTTTTCTTTCCTAGAATTTCCATGTCTCTGCTTACATTATCCATGTAATATAAGCATGTTGTCTACTTCCTTCTTTAAAGCCAGGAGCATATTAATTGTGGTTTTAAAAAATTCCTCATCTGATAATTCCAAAATTTCTGCCATAGCTGACTCTGGCTCTGATGCATATTCAGTTTCTTCACACTGTTGCTTTTTGCCTTTTAGTGTGCCTTGTAACTTTTTGCTGAAAAGTGGACATGATGTACTGGGTAAAAGGAACTGTGGTAAATAGACCTTTACCAAAGATGGGGTAGTGAGTTGGGGTGGGGATGGCATTCTGTAGTCCTGTGATTAGGTCTTAGTGTCTGGTGAGTCTCTGCCCCTGGCCTGGGAACTTCACCAGTGCTTCCCAGATTTTCTACTGTTAGATGGAACCAGCTGGCTAGAGAAGACTGGAGTTGGATGTTTTCCTTCCCCAGGTTAGTTAGACTCTGGTTAGTTTCTTCTAAGGGCAGACTTTGTTTAGAGCAGAGTGCTCTGGAGTATTTCATAATGGTTCTTTTTCCCCTCTGCCTGCTGGAAGCATGAGGGGATTTTTCCCAATATTCGCTGAGAACCTGGTCAAGCTCCTGGAGGTAAAACCCACAGAAGTGTGGGGGTGCCCTTTGACTTGGTCTCCCTGCAATTTTTATTTTTATTATTATTTTTAATTTTAGACTTGTCCACACTGAACCATCAGCAACTCATCAATTACAGTTAAGGTTTTTCTACCAGGATGCTGGTTCCCATGGAGCTTGTTGCTTTATGGATTTCTGCTCTGATAAGCTGTGATTTCTCTGTGTGCACCTGTAGGTTTCTGCAGTTTTAGGGGCAGCAGTTTACCCTGTGACCTCGCTTCTTTAATGGATCTAAGAAGAGTTGTTGCTTTTTCAGTTTGTTCAGCTTTTACTTTTTAGGACAGAGTGATGGCTTCTAAGCTCCTTACATGCTTGGCTTGAAATTGAAATTTTAACTTTTTTTTTTTTTTTTTTTTTTGAGACAGAGTCTCCCTCTGTTGCCAGGCTGAAGTGCAATGGCACGATCTTGGCTCACTGCAACTTCTGCCTCCCATGTTATAGCGATTCTCCTGCCTCAGCCTCCTGAGTAGCTGGGACTACAGGCACATGCCACCATGCCCAGCTATTTTTTTTGTATTTTTAGTAGAGACTGGGTTTCACCATGTTGGCCAGGATGGTCTCAATCTCCTGACCTTGCAACCTGCCCACCTTGGCCTCCCAAAGTGCTGGGACTACAGGCATGAGCCACTGTGCCTGGCTTTAACATTTTTAAATAGATGAGAGAATGCCAGCTATTCCAGTTTTCTTGACCATTGAAGTAGTAGTTAAACAAGTTCAAACTATGACCTGCAACCTGTAATTCCAGCACTTTGGGAGGCTGAGGCAGGTGGATCATGAGGTCAAGAGATCGAGACCATCCTGGTCAACATGGTAAAACCCCATCTCTACTAAAAATACAAAAATTAGCTGGGCATGGTGGCGCACGCCTGTAATCCCAGCTACTCGGGAGGCTGAGGCAGGAGAATTGCTTGAATTCAGGAGGCAGAGGTTGTGGTGAGCCGAGGTCGCGCCATTGCACTCCAGCCTGGGTAACGAGAGCGAAACTCCGTCTCAAAAAAAAAAAAAAAATGACCTGCAGTAGGCCAGCTCTGCCTCCCCTAGACCTTTGGAACGGTCCTACCTGAGAACAAGGAGTGATGGACCTGAGGTCTTCGTCCTGCTCACAGAGTTAACTAAATGAGTTTCTTCTAGCATGTCCGAGGTAGACCAAGGTGACCACCACTGAGAAGGTACTTGCTTTACTTATAATTTGGTGGTAGTTCTCTTTTCCAGTTCTAAGACTTTGATATCCATAATATTTTAAATAATAATTTAAAGTACATGTTTTGCCTTGTAGAGAGTTGAGGAGTTTATTTTCATAGATTCAGATCTTTTTGCAGTGTGATTCTCAATAGTTACAGTGTGCTAAGGTCAGTGGGCTTTCAGAGAAACTTTAGTGAATCAATATGTCTTTATATTTCTATTTAAATGGAACTCATTCCTAGTGGTTGAACTGCATTTTCATAGGCTAGTGAATTCTGTTATCAGTTGGGCCCTACGTGGAAGATGGCAGGACTCATCAGTGGAAAGACTGCTCATTCTTTCTACATGTCCCCAAATTAAGGAAACATCCTCTGTGCCTTAGGTTTGGGCGCTGCACAGTGTGTGTATGACAGGGTTTGTGGTGTTAATTCTTGTAACAGCCCTGCGAGGCAGCTGTTGTAGAGTTGGGACCACAGGATTGTGAGCTGCAGCAGGGCTCCCCAGGGCCTGTCTAGGCTCTTCTGTCCCGCAGGGCCTCCCTGCTCTCAGCCGCTTGGATGGACTCTAGCCATTTTGTTTCCTGTGGCTGCTGTTCCAAATTGTTGGTAAGGCAGAAAGTTTCAGAAAAGACATTCCGCTTTCATTTACAGAGGAGCTCCATAAGTGACTTTAACACAGTTACTAGTTAAGTAACCTTAGTTGACTAGGTGTGGTGTGAAATTAATCATGCTGTCTCACTGGAGCTTGCTTTTTCAGCTATTTACTTCCTGAAGTGACCAGCGGTAACTTTCATCTCCTTTCCCTCTTCCCATTGTGCTCATTCAGAAAAGAATGTGATTATTGTTTAATTAAATGACTTGACTTTTATGGGAGATTAAAGCAGGCAGGCTTTGATCTGTAACACCAGTACCAACACCTTTTTTGAGGATATGCTAATCACCAACAGAAAGCTAAGATCTGCAGATTTTAATTAAAGACTTGAGACACAAAGCATGTAATTATTATGAGACATTTTCAGGGGACTGGCAGAGTTGTGACTGCATGTGAAGTGCAGGCCAAGAACAGAGCAGCATTAGAGTATCAGGCACCTGGGCAGGTGTAAGATCATGGCCCTGTCACTTGCACATTCTGCACCTTTTCTGCTTCAAAGGGTGCCATAAATTCCGTGTAACTGTATCTCGGGGAATCTGGAGTTCCTGTGAGAGCTAATCCCCCATGTCCTGCCTTCCAGATCGGCGCCAGTGGTGTGCCATAGCCATCCTCTTTGCAGTCCTGTTGGTTGTGCTGATCCTCTTCTTAGTGCTGTGACGGCGGGGCCTCTGGGTGCGAGTTCCTCCTGCATATGAACCGAGGGGAGGAGGAGAAGCTGAGCCCGTGTGACATTGCCGTCTACTCACATTCCTATCCCGGAAACATACTGCTGCACTGACTTTTCTCCGTGTGACCCCACAATTGACACAGCTCCTCCATCCCAGCGCTGGAAGGGCCAGTGGGAAGAGGAAAGAGATGTCTGCACTCCTGGCTGCGGCTGGACAGCAGAAGCCCCATGCCGTCTGTCGTGTTCTGAGGAGAACTCGCTGCTGCCTTGCCTTCCAGGACCTCATTTGCTCAGGAGGGACTCTGAGTCATCCAGAGAGACTCACACACTCCACTGGTGTTTTGCTGTTGCTCATTCCATGCATTTGGCAGCTCTTTTCTTCTGCTCAGACCCTTCCCCCTGCTCAGACAGTGCGCCGCTGTCCCATCAAAAGAAACCTGTCAGGAATGCGAGCTTCTGGGTATGTTTTGTTTCCCATCGCTGTAGCATTTCTTAGCCCCTGAGAGCTGATGATTATTGAGGACAGAAGGCTCAGAAACAGTTTGCGACAGAAAATGCAGTGTTTCATTTTTTCAGGGATAAATGCTAAGATAAGATTACTTTTCCGGGTGCATTTTTTTTTTTTTTTTTTTTGTGGTAAGAATAGCTAATAGAAAGTAATCACCCTAGGGTTTGGGGGCTGCTAAGAACTTTTCGCTTTAATTGACGGGAGCAATTAAAAAGAGCAAGCGGACTCTGCGTTGGCACAGCTTAGGGAGGGGTTGATGATGTCACCAGAGGTCAGAACCTGATCCTTGCTAACTTGATGGTGCCGTACCAGGATTTCTTCCCCAGAGGTGCCGCTTGCATTGTGAGGCTGATTCCTGCATATGTTGTTGCTAAACAGCTCAGTAACACACATGAATGTATTTGGATTCCAGATTGTCCTCATCACAGTTCTTTTACTCGACATTGGGGGTTGGGGTTGCAAGTGGTCAGTCCATTTATTAGATTTATTCAGAAACTGTAATGCCAAAAATGGTTAGCTCTGGGCCAAACTTCTCTTACCCTGTGGGTAATGGTGAGGATGTGTAGGTGAACTTGGTTCCTTTTTCTCCCTAAGATGACAACTTGAGTTTATCATCCAGTCAAATAACTGAGCCAATCCAACTTCACATGGTAGATGCTTTAATTGAGTTTAAATAGCTGGAACTGCTGAGACACTAAACTTTAAGCTTCTCGTGACTTTTTAAATGCCTCAAATGTGCACATGTATATAGGATATTTTTATAACTTCCCTGATGAATAATCTGATATTGAAGTAGTATTTGGACCCAAAGCCAGAACTCAGTGGTGGAGGCTGCTGGTTTCTCCTCACCACCTTCTTTTGCACTTGGAAAGAACAGTAACATCTGGATAGAGTTCTAGCTTTGACTGCTCATTTCCTTATCTTTTTGGGTGCATTCCTCAGCACACTTTTTTTTAACCTTTTTGTTTTGTTTGTATTTCATGTGGTTTTATTTTGGGGTTTTGGTTTTTCACCTTTTTTGTGATTTGCAGTGATGCGCTTGCCCAGCTAACTTTTGAATTGCACTTTTTAATAAATATTTGTAACAATTTTTTGAAGAAGCATATTTTATCTCATTTGAGATCATGGGTAGGTTCAGAAAATATGCCTGTGGATGAAAGCTAAAAGTAAATTTGTGAAACCAAAAGGGTGATTGACATTCATGTTTACACTCTGCTCTAATGTTTGATATATGAATAAGTTATTTTCAAATTAAGAAAAACAGTGACTATTGCAAAGGGCTTCAGATGTGTAGAGTACTAGGTTATTTATGTTTTATAAAGTTTTAATCTTCTATAAACTGAGAAAGGGGGTGGTCCTTAGATTTGCATTAAAATATAGAAATCTTTTAAAGTAAATGTGGACCTTGTCTAAGTACTGTAATCCACGTGCCACATTACAAGAAGTAAATCAGCATCTTAAGGAATTATAAAATTACCCTGTTTAAAAGCCATTCTGTTGTTCTGCTATTACCAGATTTACTGTGCCACACAAAAGCATCATGTGTGTCAGTAGGGCCTGTTTGGAACGAACCTAGTTGTTAATGAGTAAGATACTCCCATTAGTTCAGGGACCAGGTTTTATGACCTGAGGCTTAATGATGTTTGGATATATTTTAAATTGATGCTCTTACCTCGCTGATTTAAGGAATTTTCTAAATAATGGCCATTGTAGACCTGACTCAGGCTGAAGCTAAGTAGAGAACAATTTAGAAAGTCAACTAAAAATATAGGGCATTCTCCCCGTAGGGCCACCATGCCCTTCTGCTCCTGGCTGACTTGATCTTGGGTCTGATGCACCTGACTGGGCAGGCCCTGCAGAACCAGTGTTAATTCAAAGGGCCTCCACTCAGGCTCCAATTATAGCAGCCAAAGAGAGCAAGCCAGAGAACCTACATGTATTTTTAAGGACAAATATTTCCTCCTCAGTGATCCTGATTTTCAGGGCTTTAGAGAGAACCAGGTGGTCTCTTCACCCTGTGTCCTAGAACGGGAGAAAGTAGACAGCAGTGATGACCCCTCACTACTTTTAAGTGCACCCTTACAGCACTTGGGGCTTTTTTTCCCCTTTAGCCTTATGTACCTAGAACCATATTCCAGTTATAAAGAACTGGCAGAATGTGATGGATAACAGAGAAAGAGCTCAATTTATGTTTATTGGAAGAACATTTTAAGTGATTTGGGGGTGGGGGCGAGTGGGAAGGAATGAGCTATTGAGTTTGCCAGAGTGAAAATCCAACTGAAAAACTAAACTACCTTTAGTTTTTAGTCCTACTTTTTGGTCTTGCCTCTGTGTGGACTGTGAAGAATCACAATGCTCTGTATACCCTGGACCAGGCGTCCCCAAACTACGGCCCGCAGGCCGCATGCGGCCCCCTGAGGCCACTTATCCGGCCCCCCGCCGCACTTCAGGAAGGGGCACCTCTTTCATTGGTGGTTACCGAGAGGAGCACAGTATGTGGTGGCCCTCCAGCGGTCTGAGGGACAGTGAACTGGTCCCCTGTGTAAAAAGTTTGAGGACGCCTGCCCTGGACTGTGTGGCAAATGCAAGTTGCAGCGTGTGTGTTACATGAGGATCTTCCACAATTTCAGAATTCACGCCAGAGCTGAAGGGGAAACTTGGTAACTTGCCCATTATTCTCTGCTTTTAGCCAGCGTTAAACAGACTGATGGGTCTGGTAGCCAACAACTTGGCAACTTCCACTCCTTCTCACCTCGTGAGATTAAGGGCTGTGAAAAGAAACCTAGTCTAACTCCAACAGAAATCTGTCTCTGTTAAGTGTTTTACCTTCTGTAAGTAGAGATGGTAGAGCCAAGATTTTTCTTTTGGTAATTTCCCTATCTATAAAGTGAGACCAGTTCCCTGTTACCTTTTTGGAGAATTCATAACATTTGATAATGAAAAAATGGAACGATAAATATAAATGGCTTTTCAATTCTGTGGACTTTGTACCGTTTGGCTTCACCTTGTACTGCAGGATGCATTTGTAAACCAAACAAAATGGGACTGTCTGGAAAGCTAAAGTTCTAAAATATGGAATGTACTGCCTCTAATTTTTCTTTGTCTTCCTCTCGCTGGCATTTTTTTCTCTCCCAGGTTTTTAAAGAATGATGTTTTTAAAAAAACATTATTCTTTTTGCCCATCAAAAATAAAAAGAAGTAAAACCAAAGGGTTCCCAGAGCGAAGCCCCGGCAGTCACTGTGCACCACCGCTGAGCAAGTCTGCCCCTGAGGCAGTGTGTCCCCGCCGCAGTAACAGGCCCTGCTCCTCCCAGGCCCTTGCTTCTGGAGAAGGGGATGGTTCGTTACTGGCTGGCCTGATAGAGAGTGGTCTTTCTTTTCTTTGTCTCCCTCTTTTTTGATTAAAAAACACAACCAAATCAGAATTGATTGAAAGCTGGTACCTTTTAGTAGCTCAGATTAGAGCAACTCAGCTCAGAGATACTGTTACTCAGAACAACAGTATTGTACAAAAGTCTCAGGAAAAGGCAAAACAGTCTGAAAGAATTCAACTCTACAAGGACTGAATTACTAGAATGATCATGTTGCAAAATAACACAAAACGCAACAAAGTGCCACCTAAGCCTGAGGGTGAGAACTCTACTCCCTGGATTCTTGGATCACAGCCCATGACTCCTTGGGGCACAGAGGCTGACTTCAACACGAGGATCTCACCATTAACTGTATGTAACCAGTCCACGCCTGGGGCAGAGGCTAAACGCACGGATCGAGGCCGCCAGAACAGGGCACATGAGCCCATGAGGGCAGTGCTCTCTGCAGAGTCTATAGACCTGGCAGGGACCATGGATAGCTTAGAGGTGCTTACTCTGCAGCTGGTCACATAAAACCCTAGACTGATCTAAGCCCTACACTTCTCTTATCCAGATTCCCACTAACCAGTGAGAGAGAGGAGCAAGACTTGGAAGCTGCCTCCAAACCAATTTTTGGTCTACAGTAAACAAGGATAAACATAAAACACCATTCTTCAAAGGCCAGCTTCAAAAGAACTAGTGGGCACAGAAGATGAGAGATCCCAAAGCCCTATTTAGTACCCCCCACAGGAGGAGGAGGATGGGTGTGGGTGGTGAGATAGGCCTGTTCTGTGGGCACTCGTGACCTGTCCTGCTCTGCCATCTGGCCCTGATTGGTATGAGTCCCCCCTGCTTCCTAGATGTGCACTGTCATGGCCCAGAGCTCTCACTTTTCTGAGCCTCCCAGCCTGCAGCATGCACAGGGGAAATGCCAGATCCCAAGGGTTCTGTAAGGAGGGTGAGGGGCAGTTTTTCTGAGAACATGGGGTCCTTCCATGCCACCTCGGTTGCAGGTGGGGCAGGGCAGAGAGGATGCTGAGTCACAGGAGGTAGAGAGCAGTGGAAGAGCAAGGAGGAGAAAACAGCTGGGAAAATGCCTAGAAGTTTCCATTGCATGGACTCAGCAGGCAATTTCCAGGGTCACCTTGGTTATAAGGCGTGAACAGCAAAGCTTTAAAACTGATTGTGAGAACAGTGTGTGTCCCCTCTCCCCAAATTCCCCAGAGGAACGCTCCTCCCTGCTCTAGAACTTCACATCCAAGAAACAATACACCTAATGGGAAAAGTCTTTTCAGGACCCCAGAAGTGCTCGTTGGAAGTCCATCAGGTCAAGTCTGGCTTCTCATTTGTGGGTCCACAGATTTGGGCAAAATGGCTGGAGGGCTTGCTGTCCAAGGCCTCTAGATGCAGTTGTGCAAAATCAGTCCTACACAAATCACTGGCCAGCTGTAGTATGCTCATTCCACCACCCACTGGCAATGAGGATCTTTGTGCTGTCAGAGAGGGCTGCCATTCACTGACATGCCATGTATCTGTTCCCTGGCTGCTGGAGTGCACAGGCCAGGGGGTCTTGAAGACCCTCGTGTCAAGCCTGTGTGTCAGGCCTGAAGTTGGTTTCACCATAGATAACCCTTGTTGCCCTACAGCTGGGGTAACTGTTACTGTGTCTTGATCTTTTGCTCTTCCTCTTCCCTGTCTGAACTGAGTTCCCTTCTTGGATAAAGGACAACTTTTGACTCTCACAGTCTGAAATTCTTAGGTTTATTTTCTTCTTCCAGTATCAGGTCATCCACTCGCACAGTAGTCCACCTTATCTGTGGTTTCACTTTCTGAGGTTTCAGTTATCAGAATGGGTTGCACCAGAAAGCATTGAGGCTATACAAAGACTTCGGCAAGGGAGTCCCCATGTATATAAAGAAAGAAACAGTTTATCTACCCAGTAGGATCTGCAGTTTCAAGCATCCACTGTGGGTCTTGGAATGTATCCTTGCAAAAAAGCCGGGGCGGGGGAGCACTTCTGTATGTTTCAAAATACTACACAATGAAAATACACGGTGTTACCTGTCAATCTGAAAACAAAATCACCATGAGTTCTGGGCACTGTGATCTTACCTGTGGACTGGCTGCCTGACTCTGGAGCATCCTTGTATTGGACATGAAGGGACTATCCTAAGATGGCCACTTCTCATTTGTCAGCCTGTGGCAGCTGAGTTTGAATTTGGTGGTGGCTGTCACATGTTAGGGTAGCCATAGAGCTGCTCCCTCTCAGCCAGAGCAGCAAGCACAGTTTCACCCTTTCTTTTTTTAAATTTTTGAGATGGGGTGTTAATGGAGTACAATGGCACAATCTCAGGTCACCGCAACCTCTGCCTCCTGGGTTCAAGCGATTCTCCTGCCTGAGCCTCCCAAGCAGCTGGGATGACAGGCATGTGCCACCATGCCTGGCTAATTTTTTTTGTATTTTTAGTACAAAATGGGGTTTCTCCATGTTGGTCAGGCTGCTCTCAAACTCCGACCTCAGGTGATCCACCATTTCAGCCAAAGTGCTGAAATTACAGGCATGAGCCACCGCGCCTGGCCTTTCTTCATGTACACCTGTTGCCTCCACCTAAGCCAGCTAGGAAGGGCAATAGTCAGGTGGCCAAGACCAATTCGTTATGGAGCCAGAAGCAGACCTCCTTTCTTAGGGATTTCCACCATGAAGTGCAAATACTGTGGAAGCCAATTCAGTCCGGCAAAACATGTCCCAGAAGATTGATAAGCTGCATGACCAGGCCACTCAGTGGCTTCCTGAGACACAGTGTGACATGAACTGGTAACCCACAGACTGTGCATTCGTATCTGTTTTGTGAGTAAAAGGCAGTGTGTGTGTGTTGGGTATTTTAAAGTGTGTGAGAAGATTGCGTTTCAGCAGCTGGTGGATGCCAAATGTTTGACTTTCTTATTCCTGCCCTTCAGATTCCCCCAGAATTGTCACCTTCTAGAGCGTGGGTCTTCCCAGTGTGTTCCGGGAATTCTCTGTTCATGCCACTGTCGTGTTGC